GTGGTGCTGTGGCTCAAGTGGTAGAGCACTAGCCTTGAGCTGAAAAGCTGAGGGACAGTGCCCAGGGCCCAGAGTTCAGGCCCCATGACCGGACCCAAAAAAAAAATAAAATAAAGTGTGAAGCTGTGGGCTGGGGGTATGGTTCCATGGCAGAGTGCTTGCTTAGTACACACAAGGTCCTGGAATCAATCCCCAATACCCAGGAACAAAATCAAAATGGGAAATCTTGTGGTTTAGAAGTTCAATGATATTCTGGGGGCAAGACTTAGGTAGCACATACAAAAGTCCTGGGTTTGATCCCCAACACAACAAACTACAAATATAAAAGGCACCAGTGCCTTATACCTATAATACTCATACTTATGGGGAAGTTGGACTGGCTCAGGATTGCAAAACAGAACAACAGGGGCACAGTTGGAAAGCTAGGGTCCAAGGACAGGCCCAAGTTGATTGATCCTGTGCAGAGATCAAGACAAGGATGCCAGGAATGCCAGCCAGTGGAGGAGGAAGAAACCTAGGAGATCTCCATGGCCTTGCTCCTACCATCAGTGACTGTTACCTTACATGGCAAAATGCATCATGGGCTGGGAACCAGTGGCTCATCCCATAATCCTAGCTACTCAGAAGGATGAGATCTGAGGATCATAGTTCAAAGCCAGCCTGGCTAGAGAAATCTATGAGCCTCTTATCTCCAATTAAGCAAGTGCATGGGCATGCATGCATGCACACACACACAAGCAGAAGGGGAGCAGTAACTTAAACTGTAGAGCAAAAAATCTCAGGTACAACACTGAGGCCCAGGCCCTGTGTTACATCCTGCCATTCCCTCTCCCCTCTCCCCCCAAAAAAGTCATGGGCCTAAATTATCTGAGTGGATCCAATGTAATCACACATGAGTGCTGAGCAGGCAGAGAAGTTCCTCTGGCTAGTCAGGAAAAGATGCAGGGGAAACCAGAGGAGTGAAAACATAAATCCAGGGCTGGGAAGGTGGCTCAGTGGTAGAGCGCTTGCCTTGCATGCCTGAGGCCCTGAGTTCGACTCCTCAGCACCACATAAGCAAAAAGAAAAAAGCCGGAAGTGGCGCTATGGCTCAAGCGGTAGAGCGCTAGCCTTGAGCTGAAGAGCTGAGGGACAGCGCCCAGTCCCAGAGCTCAGGCCCCACGACCGGACCCCCCCAAAAAAAAACAAACAAAAAAACATAAATCTACAGTTGTGTTTCTGCTTCTGAGATGTGGGGACCACTAGCAGCTTAAAGAGCTCCCCAGCTGCCAGCCAGCTAGGAGACAGGGACTAAAACTTTAGGGATCTGGATTCTGTCAACGATATGAATGAACTTGGAAGCTGATTCTTCCCAGGGCATCTAGTCAATAATAAGGCTTTTTGGATCTCTTCATCTTAGCCATTGAACTTCTAACCTACTCCACAATGAGCTAAGAAGTGTTGCTTGAAGCCCCTAGCTTTGTAGTAATTTGTTGCATTACAGAACACAACAAAGCCTGGTAGAGTAGATGCACTGGTGGCTCATACCTGTCATCCTAGCTACTCAGGAGGCTGAGATCTGAGGACAATTCAAAGCTGGTCCATGCAGTAAAGTCCGTGAGACTCTTAATCTCCAATTAACCACCAAAAACCTTGTAGTGGAAGCAAGGATAGACTGGTAGAGCTCCAGCTGGGCACAACCAAACCAAACCTAAAACAGAAGCTAAGAGACCACAGGGGGACAGTAGCAGAGAAAACCTTCCCAGCCACCCTCTGGTGAAGCTAGTCTCAAACATGCCCAGGCAACTTGTGGCAGGAAGGAGGTGGACAGTGGACACAAACAGGGACAGACGCTTTCAAGCCTGTTTTTCTTTTTTGGTTGGTCGTGGGGCTTGAACTCTGGGCCTGCGTGCTGTTGTCTGCGTGCTCTGTGTTGTCCATCAGCTCTTCAGCCAGCTCTTCAGCTCAAGGCAAGCACTCTACCACTTTGAGCCACAGCGCCAGTTCCGGTTTTCTGGTAGTTAGTTGAAAATAAAGAGTCTCACCGACTTTCCTTCCCCGGTCTGGCTTTGAACCGCGATCATCAGATCTCAGTCTCCTGAGTAGCTAGGATTATAGGCATGAACCACCGCTGCCCGGCTAAGCCTGGGTTTTAGAAAGACAAGTCAGTGTCCAGGCAAGAGGAGGACCCGGGGACAGTGATCTTGTCGAGGACGTTCGTTCTTCTACAATGGGGGACCAACGAAGAACATCTCCCCTCCAGCCTCGGCAGTTCTGCATGTGGCTGCTGCAGGCCTCAGTCTCTCCAGCGCTCACTGGAGGTGGGAAGGAAGAGAGTCTCCTGCTGAAGGATCATTCTGGGCCCAGCACTCCTTCTGGTTTCCGTGTGCCCCTCCTCCCTTCTGGAACTTTCCATATGTGCCCCCTCCCCCGCCTCGCTCCACCGTGACTGGCACTTGCAGGCCCCACGCACCACTATGCTACCTGCGTTGTCTCACGGCCCACCATGCTTTGCGCGCTGCCTCACAGCCCACGCTCGCCTGGCCCCAGTCACGAGTTTACCCATAGGGCTCTGCGCGTCTCCTCACGCGCTCCAGCCCGCCTGCGCAGTTACCCAGAAGGCTCCGCGTGTCTTCTCACGTGCGCCACGCTGGGTGCCGGGTCGCCATGCGTCCCTGGCTCGTGCCTGGAGGGCGCTTCCCAGTGTCTCCCACCCAGCGAGTCCAGCCAGGCGGTGGCAGCTGGGGCCACAGTGAAATGAGCAATGTCACCAGGTCCCAGAATGGAATGCCGCCCACGGGGGCGAACTGCTGGGCACAGAGGGGAGCAGGCCGCGCCCTCAGAGCCCCCCAGAGCCCCAGCCCCCCGAGCGGCCGAGGAGGCCGGGGCGGGCCCAGGGCGCACGCAGTCCGGAGCTCGAGCAGCGAGGCCGCGGGAGGAGGCTCTGGGAACCTAGTAGTCCTCGAGAGGGACGAAGTCCCGGGTCAGGTGCGGCCAGGGCACCCGACAAGGGGCCCGCGTGGATGGGAGGGGGAGGTGGGGCGCGGGCCGGCTCTGGAGTTGGTGGGGCCTGGGCTGTGAGCTCTTGACTTTCTCTTCACCAGTCTCCATACGAGCGGTTGAGTCAGAGGATGCTGGACGTTTCTGGGGACCGGGGTGTGCTGAAGGATATCATCCGAGAGGGTGCTGGAGATCTGGTGGCACCCGACGCCTTGGTGCTGGGTACGGCAGCAGCTCACTTTGGTTCTATTCTCTGGGAATTGCATACTTTCACTTTCTTTGGGGCAAGGGAAATTGGTTTTTGTGGGGCTGGAAATATGAATACAGTTTGGTTTTAGTTGGTGTGTACCACCATGCCTGAATTGTTTTAAGATGGGGTCCCGCTAACTTTTTTTTTTTTTTTTGCTGGGGCTGGCCTTGAGCTGTGATTTTCTTACTCTTTGCCTCCTAAGTAGCTAGCATGACGGGCAGATGCCCCAACATCCAGCTGGAAAAGCTTCTTTTAAATTGGAGTTTTTCAGAGGAAGGAGAGCTTCCCCTGTCTCCCCTTTGCTGGGTGCAAAATACATCTACAGACACAGAGCCCTTGGACTTGAGACCCTCAGGCAGGTAATCCAGTCAGTACTCAGTTTCTAGTACCTTGTTTCCAGGACTGACTGTGATCCAGTCTGTAAATCATTGGTGTGTATTCATGCTTGTGCATGCACATGTGTGCACTGGTCCTTGGGCTTGAACTCAGTGCCTGGGTGCTGTCCTTCAGCTTTTTTGCTCAAGGCTACACTACCACTTAAGTTGAGCCACAGTTCTACATCCAGATTTTTTTGTAGTTTATTGGACATAAATGTCTCATGAAATTTACTATTCAGGCTGGATTGGAACCAGGATTCTCATATCTCAGCCTCCTGAGTAGTTAGGATTAGTGGTATGAGCCACTGATGAGCAACTCATTGGTGTGTGTATTCTCACATTTTTTTCTGTTCTCTGTCCTAGTGAAATTTTCTGGTTACCTGGAACACATGGACAAACCTTTTGATTCAAATTGCTATAGAAAAACTCCTCGACTGATGAAGCTTGGAGAGGGTAAATTCAGACTACAGCTGGAAAAGAAAGGATTGTTTGGGGAAGTGGGAAGGCACAGTGTTTGGGGGTTGGAAGATGGTCCAGAGCACAGATCTGAGTTGATTGGTTTTGTTTTGTGCTACTGAGGATTCAACCCAATGCCTTGTGCAGGAGTAGATACTACTGGAACCACATTTCCAGTCCTCAAAAAATAAAACAAACTTATTAACTGGATGCTGGTGGCTCATGCCTGTACTCTTAGCTACTCAGTAGGCTGAGATCTGAGGATCACAGTTCAAAGCCAGCGCAGACAGGAAAGTCCGTGAGACTCTTTAACTCCAATAAACCACTAGAAAACTGGAAGTGGCCTGTGGCTCAAGCGGTAGAGCACTAGCCTTGAGCTGAAGAGCTGAGGGACAGCCTAAGCCCAGAGTTCAAGCCCCATGACTGACTTTTAAACCCCAAAAACTTAATATACATTAATGTGTTAGTGTATGATATTCTCATACATATAAACGTTGTATTTTTTCTCCATCACTCTCCCTATCTCCCCTTTAAAGCGATTTCAACAGGTTTCATTGTTTTTGTATAAGCAGACTGCCTCTAACCACATTCATCATCATTCTGCCAGTTGTCCTCTTTCCTCTCAAGCCCATGGTCACCCATAACTCCCCCATCCCAGCCTGTTTTACTTTCTGTTTTTTTTTTTGGGGGGGTGGGGTGGTCTGTTTTTAAAAATAGAATCTCAATAACTGCCTTGGCTGCCCTCAAATTCTCAATAGTCCTCTTCCTGCATCTCCTCCCACAAAGTAGGGTTGGTATTTGGGGGAAGCACCAGTGTACTTTCTCAAGGCCCACCTGGCCAGGTTGTCTTACATCTTGGCTCACCTACTGGATGTTTGTCTTTGTTCATGTGAAAAGTAGCCATCTATCAAGTACTTGCTTCCCACCAGGCCTGCTGAGATGAGAGTGTGCGGTCTTGATTAAAAAATTAAGGAAGAGATTAAAAAAATTAAGGAAGGGATGGTGGAGACTGAGTACAGGGGAGGAATAAGCAGTGTTGTGTGTTTCCACAGTACAGTCACAATTGGTTCCAGCTGGGAAAGTCATGGTAGGTTTCATGAAAGAGGGGGCTCAGTGTGAACCCTGAAGTATGAATCAGATGTGTGTCAGGGTAGCAGCCAGCATGTGGTGAGATGTGGAGATGGAATCCTGCTGAGCCTGGAGAAAGTGGATTTTGGGGGCGGTGGGGAGTGTGGGAGGCAGGGCTGCCTGAGCAGTGGGTTGGGACCATGGTGCAGAAAGCCTGGGTAGTACTTGGAGAGGTTTGCATAGGGAAGGGGGAGAAGATTGACCAGCATTGAGAAAACTACTGGGTGCACTCCAACAACTTCTTTACCTGTTCTGCCAGATATTACACTCTGGGGCATGGAGCTGGGTCTTCTGAGCATGCGGAGAGGAGAGCTGGCCAGGTTCCTGTTCAAGCCGACATATGCCTATGGCACACTGGGGTGTCCGCCTCTTATCCCCCCCAACAGCACCGTTCTATTTGAGATTGAGCTTCTTGACTTCCTGGACTCTGCTGAGTCAGACAAGTTTTATGCCTTATCCGCTGTAAGTCCCAGAGCTAGGGGCATTGGCATTTCCCAAGAAAGGGGTGGGTTTGGGTTGGGGTTGGGGTACTCTAGATCATCTGCTCTGATAATGATAACCAAGCCTGATCAGTGATGATGGAGGGTCTCTCTGTCCTGGGTAAATGTGCTGGGGAATGTGGAGTCTGTATTGATTCTAAATGAGCAGTTTGAGCAGGCCAGTCAGTCACTCCTTGTCATTTCTCTCTGCTAGACAGTGAGCATTGGCTTTTCAGCAGATTAGCCATTGGTAGCACAGAATCAGGGCCCCTGTATAACATCGTGCAGCCAGGCCTTGGAGAGTGAAGGGCTGCTGACTGGATAGCCCACCCAGGACTTCAGGTATAAGCTGGACCACTATATACGATCACTATCCTCTTAACAAGGACCATTTGGCTATTATAACATCATTGTAGGCCATACAGAATTACCACTAAGGTGGACAGGCCGAGGGCAAGAAGAAGTGTATATGTCTTTCTCAACATGTAGCAAATGATCTTGACTATCTTGCTTTTTCTTTTCTTTTTCAGTTATTAACTTTGTTTTATTTTATTCATTTATATATTTTTATTATTGTGAAAATGCCATACAGAGGGGTTACAATTACGTGGGCAAGATAGTGAGTACATTTCTTATCAAGCATTGTTGCCTCCTCCTTTGTTTCCCCATACCATCCCTTCCCTTCTCCACCCCCTGCCCCCACACCCTCTTACCACCACCACTCCCTACCCCCCACTCTTGCTTTTTATTTAAAGCCCTTTACAATACCTGCATGGACAGGGCTTGTAATCTTATCAGAGATTCATACTGGGTGCCTGTACCCTAGGTGAGCCCAGGATTTTGGGCCTCCACTCCCAGAGGTGTCTCATCTTTTCTTCAGTCTCATGAAGCTTGAGGTTCTGATTGGGACCAGGGCAAAAGAGGCTTAGCAGAAGATTCTTCCACATAGTCCAGGGTAGAGCACCAGGACAATCAAGACCACAAGGGCTCTGGACCAACGGCCTGAGAAGTGCTTGTACCTTGTGGTGGTTGTGAACTCTTAGTTCTAGGCTTAGCCAGCTTCCTCAGTTTCAAGTCCAGGGACAGCCTCAGCAGGGAGGCACATGGTCTCTATACACAGGCAGAAGTTTTAGTCTGCAAGGGGGAAACTCCCCTCCAGCCCATAGGCTCTCAGCTTCATTTCCAGATGTTCTTGTCTTTGCTCTGCAGGAGGAACAAGACCAGTTTCCACTTCAGAAGGTCCTCAAGGTGGCAGCAACTGTAAGGGAGTTTGGAAATTACCTTTTCCGCCAAAACCGCTTCTATGATGCCAAAGTGAGGTATAAACGGGTAAGGATGCTCTGACAGTGAAGTATACGTGCACTTCAGAAAATTTCTTTGCTTCAAAGACACGCTGTATCTCTTCTTAGTCATTTTTCTTTTCTTTTTGTGTTAGTCCTGTGGCTTGAACTCAGCCTGGGGGCTGTCCCTGAGCTTTTTTTTTTTTGGCATGTGGTTTGAACTCTGGGCCTGGATGCTTTTCCTCAGCTCTTCAGCTCAAGGTTAGTGCTCTACCACTTGAGCCACAGCTCCACTTCTGGCTTTTTCTGCTTATGTGGTGCTGAGGAATCAAACCCAGGGCCTCATGCATGCAAGGCA